TTTTATTTGTGTTATTTATTTGATTTGGGGCTTGTTTTAAAATGTCAATTTAGTTTTGTTATTTACATTTACATTAGCCTATTTTTAAATTTAGTTATTTAGCAGACACTTTTATCCAAGGCGACTTACAAATGAGGACAATAGAAGCAATCAAAACCAACAAAAGAGCAATTATATGCAAGTGCTATATTAGTATATTATTATAGTGTTATATTTCAATTTCACAAAGAAACGTGCAGCATTTTGTCCAAGCAATAATAAAAGGACACATTTAATTTATAATTTGTCTTAAATCTCATTTTGTAAAAAAAAAAATTGTGAATCGAATCAAAATCGTGAATCGAATCGTGAGTTGAGTGAATCGTTACATCCCTAGTAATTATTTAAAGTTGAATTACTCACTTGAATGTAAAGTTTATAAACGTTTTGTTTTATTTACCACCGATGTGACTTGTGTTTTTTTTAAATCAGAAATACAGTAACACTGCATAATTTATATTTAATAATGTTATGGTGTATTTTATGCATTTTTTAAGCTTGACAGTCATCTTATGCCCTTTAAGACCATTTTATTTCACGTTCCACAGAAGCAAGTGAATCATATGAATTCGAAACAACATGCAGGTGAATAAATGATGACAGAACTTATATTTTTGCGTGAACTATCCCTTTAAATTGGCACAGATTGGTTTAGAGAGACGGGATGAAGTCGTCTGGATTTTGATTGAGTCGCTGCTAATACGGTGACGAGGCCTAGACGGCGTAAAGATATGATTGTGTTTGACCGTAGACGTACGACACTGTTCTGTTTCTATAGGAACTGGAATTGACTGTTAAGCATTTATGATTTATCAGCGTTGGCCGTCATCCATCTGGCTTTAATCAAGACAGGAGTGGCTTCTCGCGTTCCTGTCAACATCCCAATACACCCGTGACTTACTGGCAGCGGCTCCATCTGACGTCTCTGAGACATCCGGTTGAAGGACAAGTGACCTGTTAAAGCTCGAGAAATAAAGCCATAAAGGCCAACGAGAAATAAGCACTTCATCACGGCACGGCTCACTGAGATTCATCTCAAACCGCTGGGATTTAGACAGAAATTCAGGTGTTTAAAGGGACAGTTCACCTAAAGATTTCAATTCTGTCATTATTTATTCATCCTAGAGTTTTTACAAACCTGTATGAGTTGTTTGGAACATAAAAGAAGAAAATCTGAAGAGTGTTGGGAACCAGACAGTTGACGGTAGCCATTGACTTCCATAGTAGGGGGAAAAATACTATGGAAGTCAATGGCTACCGTCAACGTTTTGGTCACCAACATTCTTTAAAATATCTTCTTTTGTGTTCAGCAGAAGAAAGAAACTCATATAGGTGTGTAAAATCTTGAGGGTGAGTAAATTACATCGTTTTCATTTATGGGTGAACTGTCCCTTTAAATGCTGTCGTAAGATGCATAAACTTCTTTTTGTTGAGCTGACGTTGAATCCTTTAAGATTTAAGTGGAAGAAACTGTGATTATGATTTACAGTGACAACATCATGAGCAGAACAAAATGAATACGAAAGAAGTAAACTTTAAGTATCATGAGAAAGTTCTTTAATTAATGTTTTGTAACAAAAGAGATCATTGTGATGTTGGCTGGAGGGAATCACTAACAATGAATCACGCTGTTTATTTGACTCATGATTCACTGAACTTTATTGTGCTAATCAGGTTTGTGGGTGGTTAGTAAATAATGTACTGTAAGCACAAAAATGACTCAGCTGTTTAGTGAATTCGCTTAACCGTATGAACTGAAAACTTCATCCCCAGTCCTGTGTATTGAAAAGTAACTGCAGATTTTTTTTTTTTTAATTTTTGAAAGAAACTGCCTTTATTTGATCCGTAAAATTAATAAAATATTTTTACAATATAAAATAACTGTTTTCTATTGTAATATATTTAAAAATGTAATTTATTCCTGTGATGCAAAGCTGAATCTTTTCAAAAAAAATTTTTTTTTTTCAGGAAATATTTTTTTCTTTTCCTTTGAACATTTTCTTCAAAATCTTTTCATTTTCTTTCAAAAGGTCAGCATTTATGTGAAATAAAAATGTTTTGTAACATTATTATGTCTTAATTGTCACTTTTTTATTAATTTAATGCATCCTTGATAAATAAAAGTATTAATAAAAAAAAAACAATTATTATTAAATATATATTTAATTATAATTGTATATGTTTTAAAATATAATTTTGTGTTTGTGTTTGTGTGTTTGTGTACACACACACTAGACATGTGCCGGTATTCGGTAATGCGATATATCACGATAATGAATATGCACGGTATTGTTATCGTGGGCACTTCAAAATACTAATTATTCAGAATTTTAAATGCATTTTAAGAATACTTTTCACATCAACTGGTCACGATGCACAGCAGATGGCGCCAAACAGCAGAAATGCAGCCGTTACCCCGGAAACCACGTAAACAAAGCAGCTGTGTTACATTCTGTTTCTGAAACGTATTTAAATTATTTTTAAAAAGCCATTCAGATTTGTGTATTCGCTATGGTGTTCATCACAGCGCAAAATACTTAAATATTTAGACTTAATAAGCTATTTATTTTCAAACTTTAATCTGTACTACAGCATGCCCTAGATATTGTTTGAAAGTGTTTTGATTCTTTATTGTTTGGTCACACTTTTACATTAAGGCTCTATTAATAAACATTAGTTAACATAAACTGCCAATGAAAGATTCTTCTAAACATTCATTAATCTTAGGTAATTCCAATATTTAAAATCAAAAGTTGCAACTGTGTTATTTAATTAGCTAACATGAACTAAGAGTTGTATTTTTAACAAAGATTAATAACTTATGTAGCGAACATAGCTATTGCTCATTGTGAATGTTAATGCATTAACTAAGGTTAACTAATGAGGTCTTATTGTAAAGTGATACCTATTGGTCTTTATAGTTCTTTTGCACTTTAATCTGTGTAAAATAATGTATTGCTTCATTGCATTTAAATGTTCAGTTATTTTTGTTATAAAAAAAAGTTATTAAACCTGTTTTAATAACACAACCTTTTTTGTAACTAAATTCCAATATCGTGATAATACCGTATACCGTGATAAAAGCATTAGCAATTAATCGCAAAATCAAAATTTGATACCGGCATATCCCTAACACACACACACACACACACACACACTCCCTCACACACAGACACACACACACACACACTCACTC